TGCGAGCGTCGAGGGGCACACTTTCATTGAGAACAAACAGCATGCACCGGTGAGGGGGGATCAGCAATAATTATTCTTCAGAAGTGAAAGTTCAACAGCAGCAGCAGCAACACCAACAACAGCAGCAGCAACAGCAAAAGCAACAGCAACGACAGCAACAAACATAAGAACAACTACTATTTTAAGACTGTTCGCTCTTACTGGCATGCGTGTCCTGCAGTCTGTAACCCTCGATACCCGCCCACTTCGTCTTCGATTGCACCCCCTTTCGGGGGAATGTCTTCCTTGTCGGCCGATGAAGTGCGAGGAACTCTCGAGCGAGAGCGCCGTTCCTGAGTTCAGGGGGCCTCTCTGGCCAGGGGCTCTCGGAATACATATGGAGAAATATCAAACGGGAGCCCTTGCCGCAATATCTGGGCCTCCACCAAGTTGCCTCACTTCCGAGAAGGTCTCGAGCGAGAGCGCCACTCTTGAATTCGGTGGCCTCTCTGGCAAGGGCCTTCGCGAATAACCTCATGAAGCAAATAAGAACCCCTCCCCCCCCCTCCGGCGAAACGATACCCCCCCCCAGCACCTGGAAGCGTTAACTCCGGCACCTGCGGCTAGGAGGAGGAGGAGGAAGCACATCGCCTGAGACATCCTCGCATGTCTTAATAGAATTGGCCAAATCGCCTGAGACATCCTCACATTTCTTAATAGACTTGGCCAAATCGCCTGAGACATCCTCATATTTCTTAGCAGACTTGGCCAAACCGCCTGAGACATCCTCACATCTCGTACGAGAATTGGCCAAATAGCTTGAGACATCCTCACATGTCTTACGAAAATTGGCCAAATTGCTTGAGAAATCTTCACATATCTTAATACAATTGCCCAAATCGCCTGAGACATCAACGCATTTCTTAATAGGATTGGCCAAATCGCTTGAGACGTCGTCGCATTTCCAAATAGAACTTGCCAAATTGCTTGAGACACCCTCACATTTCTTAATCGAATTGGCGAAATCGCCTGAGACGTCCTCACATGTCTGAATAGAAGTTGCTAAATCGCTGCAGACATCCTCACATTTCTTAATAGAATTGGCCAAATTGCCTGAGACATCCTCATGTTTCTAAATCGAATTGGCCAAATCGCTTGAGGCATCCTCACATTTCTTATTAGAATTGGCCAAATCGCCTGAGACATCCTTAAATTTCTTAGTAGAATCAATTAAATCGCCTGAGACATCCTCACATTTCTTAGCAGAATTTGCCACATCGCTTGAGACATCCTCACATTGCTTAATCCTTCTCCTCCTCCTTCCCCCTCTCCCTCCTTCCCCCCCAGCTCGCCTTTTCACAGTCCTGGCAATATTACGGCAACCTTTCAGTGCTCAGGAGAGTTCCTGCCTGTGCCTGCCGCCCTTTCAGAGCTCAAGCGTTCAGTTTTCAGATCGGATTGGCCAAATCGCTTGAGACGTCCCCACATTTCCAAATAGAACTTGCCAAATTGCCTGAGACATCCTCGCAATTCTTATCAGCATTTGCCAAATCGCCTGAGACATCCTCACATATCTTAACAGACTTGGCCAAATCGCATGAGGCATCCGTACACTTCTTATTAGAATTGGCCACATCGCCTGAGACATCCTCGCAATTCTCATCGGCATTTGCCAAATCGAATGAGACATCCTCATGTCTTAACAGACTTGGCCAAATCGCCTGAGACATCCTTACATTTCTTATTAGAGTTGGCCACATCGCCTGAGACATCCTCGCACTTCTTATCAGCATTTGCCAAATCGCCTGAGACATCCTCATGTCTTAACAGACTTGGCCAAATGGCCTGAGACATCCTTACACTTCTTAGTAGAATTGGCAAAGTTACATCCGACATTCTCATATTTCTGAATAGAATTTGCCAACTCGCCTGAGACATCCTCACATTTCTTAGCCGAATCAGCCAAAATGGCATGAGACATCCTCATACTCCTAGATAGAATTGGCCAACTCGCCTGAGCCATCCTCACATTTCTTTGTAGAAATAGCCAAATCGCCTGAGACATCCTCACATTTCTTAATAGAATTAACTAGCCAAATCGCCTGAGACATCCTCACATGTCTTAATAGAATTGGCCAGCTCGCTTCAGACATCCTCACATTTTAATCGAATTGGCCACATCGCCCGAGACATCCTCGCAGTTCTATAAGCATTTGCCAAATCGCCTGAGACATCCTCGCAATTCTTAAGACAATTGGTCTACTCGTCTACTCGTACTCGTACTGCTATTCGTATTCCTACTCCTATTCCTACTCCTACTCCTATACTCCTACTCCTATTCCAACTCCTCCTCCCTCTCCTCCTACTCCTACTCCAACTCTTACTTCTACTAAGGGAGCCTCACGACTCCTGCGCGGCCCAGGGAGCCTCAGAATAATCCAAGATGGCCGAGAGGTTCCAGAAGAATCCAAGACGGTCCAAGACGTATCGCAAGGGGTTCTCATAGCAGGGCCCTGGAGATGCCTTCAGCCAATGGCCCCTCGCCTTCCCTCAGTGGCAAGGGCCTCTCAGGGCCCAGGAAGCTCTTATTCTCAGAGGCCTTCGGCCGATCCGCCTGACCTCCTCCCCCATCGGGGTCCAGGGCCTCTCAGGGCCCAGGGAGCTCTTATTCTCAGAGGCCTTCGGAGGCAGTAGTCCAGGTACTGGCAGGAGTCCAGGTAATCAGAAAGAAGCAGTGGTGCCTTATATTTTTTGTAGAATTGGCCACGTCGCCTAAGACATGCTCGCATTTCTTAGTAGAATTGGCAAACTCGCCTGAGACATCCTCGCATTTCTTAGTAAAATTTGCCAAATCGCCTGAAACATCAGTTGTTCCTTGGGCCTCTCAGCCATGTCATGGTTGTCAGGAGCAACTATCTACCATTGGTGTCTTCCGACGATTACGGCGACGACGAACACGACCTGGCTGTCGCACGGATATTTTTTTTGGCCGGGTGCTAAGATAACGCCACGGTGCGGGGTGGGGGCGATACCCTCGGGTGGACCACCCCCTACGACGGCCTACCACCCCCTACGACGGACGACATTGTTCTTATTCGCATTTTCATTCGTATTCTTCTTATGATTACAATTCCAATTGGGATGCCATCCGAGGCGGGACGCAGGAATTATTTACTTTCCTTTCAAGTGCGCGGTGCTAATTATATCGTTCGGCGAAAACCCCCCAGAATAATTATTTAATTACGGGGCGGTGCTAATGATAACCCCGGGGGGATCCTTCATCGCTTCATGAGGTTACATCTGCAGGAAGTATCGAACGAGAGCCCTTGTCGCCGTAGTTGTGCCTCCGCTGACTTGACTGAATCACGAGAAACTCGCTAGCGAGAGCGCCGTTCCTGAGTTCAAGGGCCTTCCTGGCCAGGGGCTCTCGGAGAAAATCATGAGGAAGTATCGGGCAGGAGCCTTTGCCGTCGTGGCTGAGCCTCCGCCAACTTGATTGAATTGCGAAGACATCTCGAGCGAAAGCGTCGTTCCTAGGTTCGGGGGTCTCTCTGGCCAGGGTGTCTCGGGGTAAGTTGTGAGAAGTATCGAGCGGGAGCCGTTGTCGTCGTAGCCGGGCCTCCAAGGGCCCACTTTTACACTCAAGCCAACGCTCGAGCGGGAGCCTCGTTTTCAGAGAACATGTAGCCAACGTCGAGGCGAGAGCGCGCGGAACCGCTTCCGGGGATCAACAATGATTGTTCTAGAAATGAATAATAAACAACAACAACAACAGCAGCAGCAACAACAACAACAACAACAACAACCACAACAACAACAACAACAGCAACAACACCAACAACACCAACGACAACATCAACAACAACACCACCACCACCAACAACAACAACAATAACGCCAACCTACACCCCGGGCGCCCATACATTTTCCGCTACGGCCCCCTGACTCGGAGAGGGCAAGGGGGGGGAAGGAACGATTAGGAGGAGGGGGCCGCACGGATCCGGATCGGGGGAGGCAGCCCCGGAGAAGGCGAGGAAGACACAGGGGCGGAGTCGGGAAACGTTTTAAGTCGGGCGTGTTCTCCTATAGGCGGATGTTGGACGACAAATCAAAACTGATCAAACAATAATCAAACAAAAATTCCAAACATACTCACAAGGTCGTTATTTGTGGACTATGTTTGACAAATCCTCCTGTCGAGAACAGACTTGAGGGAAGGTTCGAGAGGTAGGAGGCCTGAAAAAGGGGGAGGAGAGGGGAAGGATTGGGTCGGAATTGTCCCCCTGCAGGCAAAGCTTGGACGGAAAATGAAAACGTATGCAGCAAAACACAAAAGAACACAACAGAATCACAGATCGTCCCAAACCTATGTTTTACCGTTTTTGCACATCCCTCATTTAGAGGAACAGGCCCGGCTTACAGGAAGGAGAGCACGGCGCAAACATGACGTGCTGGGAAATCCGCGAGGACTTCTTGGATCCGCGAGCCTCCCCCAAGGTGGCGCGCGGCGCTCGCCAGGGGCGGCGCCGCCGGGGTCGTGGCGGGGGCGGGGGGCACACGCTGCTCCCCAATGGCCGCGCGGACCTGCGACGACTGCTGCCAATGCCGCTGTCCTTCGAGACTCGGGAGAGAAGAACACCACATGAGCATAAACTTTAGGGCGCTCCGCGCGGACTTCTTAGATTCGCGCTGGACGCCCCTCCCTGGCGCGCGGAGCGCGCCAGGGGCGGCGCCGGAGGCGCCACCAGGGGGCCAGGCGCGAATTCAAGGAATTCGCGCGGAGCGCCAAAGGTTTATGTTCATGTGGTTTTTGCTTCTTCGGAGACTAAGGTTAGGTCCGGCATGTCATGTTACAGGCGGACTCTGGACGAGAAACAACCGCACAACACTTAAACATAGTCAAAAAATCTGGAAAACATCGCCCCCAGATGTTTTAAAACTATTCTCAAAAACTCCTGACTTCCAAACTAGAAGAAGAGGCCCGGGGAGGAGGCAAGGGTGCCCGAGCAGGAGGAGACGGAGGAGGAGGACGAGGACGACGAGGATGGCCACGCACTCATGTGCGGGCGCTGCGGCGCACAAGCGTGAGGACACTGCCGACGGGGCCTGAATTGCCCCCCCTCCATCCGTGCACGCCCCTGGTCTCCAAGCCAAGCAGATAGCGAAGTGGAGGAGGACGAGGACGACGAGGATGGCCACGCTCTCTTGTGCGGGCGGTGCGGAGCACAGGCGCGGGGACGCCACAGCCAGGGCCTGAACTGCCCCCCCTCCCTCTCGTGCACGCCCCTGCTCTCCAAACAGAAGGCGAGTTCGAATTCGCCGGCCGCGCCGCCCTCCCGGCACCGGCCAACGCCGCCGGCCCTGCCCACATGGGATCACCGCGGGGGGCGCTGCGTGAAAGAAGGGGCTAGGAGTGGATGCTAGGAGGGTGGGTGATGTCAGGCCCCACCTAGCTCATCAGTGGACTGAAAATCCGGCCACAAGTCTTGGGTGGGTCCGATGACTCCGCCATAAGTGGGCGGAGCCCACTTGGCCCGCATCTTCACCCCCTAAACCACCTGCTTCACTTGTCACCCACTTATAAGATGTGCTCAGTGGAAGCCAGTCCACAAGAAACCTCCCACAAGAAACCCAACCCTGAGACCCCAGGACGTCCATTGGTTTTTGGCGTGGGAGCGTCGCGCTCCCCAGCGCGAAACCATCGAAAACCGAGAAAACCAGGGCGCCCTGGAGGCGAGCAGGGTGTTTCTTGGCATGGGCCCCCACTGCATGCATACGTGACCTTCCATACCCCCCACCCCCCGAGAGGGGCCGCTCGAGGCGCTCGAAACCAGCGCGCTTGAGGGGCGCCGCCACACGTGGGGCCCCCCAGGGGCCAAAGGGGCCACAGTGGGGGGCCACGCCCAGACGACCACAGCAAAGGTCAGTCCACAAGAAACGTTCCACAAGAGACCCAACCCTGGCACCCAAGGACGTCCATTGGTTTTCTGGGCGCGCGGACATCACGCTCTCCACGGCAAAAGCATCGAAACCCAAGAAACCCAGGGCACCCTGGAGACGAGCAGGGTGTTTCATGGCATCTCCACCGTATATGCACTCTTTTGTCCGCCGGCGGCGAGGCAGAATTGGCCCCACCAGCGCTATAGAGCTAAGCGGGGGCACCGAGAAGCGAAGTGGCCAGCGTGCAGGAGCGGGGAAAGGACCGACAGGGCGGCCGAAGACGACCATATACACGTAAACTGTCCGAGCTCCGCTCGGAGTTCTCGGGTCGGCGCTGCCACCCCCCTCCCCCCCCCCCTGGCGGGCGGAGCACGCAGTGGGGGGGGGGGGGCAGCACCGACCCCGAAGTCCGCGCGGAGCTCCAAACGTTTCTGCTGATGCTGTTCTTTTTTCTGTGAGGGGAGGCGACGCCCCTCGCGTCAACGACCCTCCTCGCCCTCCCCTCCCCACTCCCCTCCTCCCCTCCCCTCCCCTCCACCCTGTGCCTCCACGAACCTCCTGAGGGGGGGCGAGGTCGTGGAGCGAAGGGGGGAAGGCGTGCATCCTGGCGCTGCTCTCCAAGCAAGGCGCGAATTGGCCGCATGGGTGTGCTGGCGCAGCATCTCCTGAGCTCCTCCGCTGCACGGCCCAAGAGGCAAGGTGGCTCCCGGCGGAGCCCTGTCACGGCCTTCCGAGCCGATACGGGTACTACAATCAATTCCTCGCGGGGAGAGGGCACGGGAGGGAGGGGAGGGGAGGGAGTGAAGAGTGAGGAGCGGGGAGCAGCAGGAGGGGCGAGGGGAGGGAGGGGGAGGGGAGGGGTGACAGGAGGGAGGAGGGAGGGGGAGGGGAGGGGTGACAGGAGGGGAGGGGGAGGGGAGGGGAGGTGCGATAGGAGGGGTGAGAGGAGGGAGGGAAAGGGGAGGAGAAGGAGGACAAGGAGGAGGAGAGGGAGAAGGCGGAGCAGGCCACAGAGAGGAGGGAGGAGCAGCGGGAGGACGCGAGGAGTGAGGACTGCTGGGAAAGAGGAGGGGGCGATATCAAAGGAGAACAAACACCACATGAATATAAACTGTTGGGAACCGGCGCGGATTTGAATTGATCCGCGCTCGGCCCCCAGGTGGAGCCTTCGGCGCGGCCCCTGGCGCGCTCCGCGCGCCAGGGAATGGGGTCCAACGACGCTCCAAGAAATCAACGCGGACCTCCGAAACTTTGCTTCTGCAGGGGAAAAGAATACGAGACGGGGGAGAAGCAAGAGCCAGAACGGGGACCCCGGGGGGAAGGGGAAGGAACGAGGGACTGGCGCAGAAGAGTCCTGGAACAAATCGAGCATGAACGTGTACGCCTCACTCGCGCAAGCGAAAGCGAAGCTCAGCTCAACATGTTGCCGACTCAACATGCCGATTCGGCCCAACGATGCCCTTTAAACGTGCTGGCTCAACATGTGCTCAACTCAACATGCCGACTCAGCCCCAAAGACTCGCCAAATCTGACCAAGCGGGGCACTGAGGCTCAACGCGCAAAGACAACCCAGAACAGGCCCCCTCTAAACATTTGCACTTACTGCCTGGGCTCCAGCTTCGCAGAATCCCGCACTTCTTGCACGTCCCCCATGCCCACCCCCCACCCACACCTCGTCTGCCGGCGGCAGGGTGCAAGAGCTGCAAACCAGAGAAGCACGACGCGGCTACATGATCATATTCACAGTGCACAAGCACCCGCCGCAGTCCGTGACCATCTCAGATCTGATTGCCGGAGCTCTGCTCTTGAAATGGCTCCCTCTCGGAGCAGGGCGAGCTGAGAACCCAGCTGCGCAACAGTCGGGGTGGCGACGAGCCCCCCCTCCCCCCCGAAGGAAGGCCAACTACCTCGGAAAGTAACTCCTGGGAGGCCCTCGTAGTGAATATGAAAGGCTACTGGCAAGTGCTTTTGTACCTACCGGCAAACTAATCTTGTGCGACGGCGCCGCCCCAAAAGGGTCCTGGATACGACATGCTGGAATTTGCGATATTTCAGCTGGCGACGGTACACTTCGTGAACCGAGCCACTCAGGGCCCTCGGTGCGCTATCCGAATTTGCAACAGGGCCAGCATGATTGTCGCTCGCCAGCGGCAGTCTACTTTCCGCATTGTTTGATTCGGCGGTGGCGTCGTCAACAACTGCTCCACGGAACGAACTGAGCGGAATATGAAAACGCAGGAGTAAGAGGCCCGACCAAGGAGCCACTGAGCCAGACCAGCACAGATTAAGACTGATGCTGGATGAGACCACACTCGACTGGATCGAACTGACCGAAAGAGGAAAGCCTGGCCCCAGGCCACGGATCTGCCAGTGCCGATGCTGACTTCACCATCCCAGAAGTGGCACCCCAAACTACCCGTGTCTCAGCTCGCCCTTGATGGGCCTGTTTTCCACCACCACCACAAGTTCGAGAGGGGAGGGGGTCCTCCTCCCCTCGTTTTCTTACTACTCCTCCTCCTCCTCCTCCTCCTCCTCCTCCTCCTCCTCCTCATCCTCCACCTCGTTCCCCCCTCCCACTCATGGTGGTGGTGGTGGAAAACAGGCCCGTCAGCCCTGGCGGCGGCTTCCCCCGCTTCCCTCCCCCTGCTGAATAAGGCGTGTGCGCCGTGCCCCAGCGCCCGTGCCGGTAAAGGAGCCAGGCCAGAAGCGGTAGCCGCAGCTTCCGTCCTTCTCTGGCTCGCTCCCTCTGGCGACGTGAGGTGGGGAGCCTGACCATGGAGGATCAAGCGTGAACCAATGGGGGGCGATAAATGCGGGGTGTAAGAACGGTGCATGTTCCGGACACTAAATGCCCCTTCTCTGGGCCCAAAAGGGCCCCTTTTCTGCAGCCCTCGCTGCCCCCCCATTCATCGCCCCCCCATTACGCGAAGCCCATGAAGCCGCTCCTCTAGACTCCAGCAAGTTTACTTTCATGGAGCGGGGGTTGGGGGCGTCGCAAGGTTCGAACGAAAGTCTGGACTTCATGCGAATCGCGTCTCGATTGCACGCCGTTTCGGCCCAGCACTGCCTGAAAAGGCGGCGAAGGAGGTGGGGGCGGGCAATGCCATGCCGCACTCCTGGTCCCGCCCCAGCTGCTCGCGGCGACAGCCGCGGCAACGGCATGCAGACAGAAATAATAATTACGCTACCGAGGAACCCCACATACTTACATTATGGCTGGAGTGATGATAGCTGAAGTGGAGCATGTGAGAATGATGTTGGTGGCCGTTCCCTGCGCCTCCCTACAGTGTCGAGAAAGTGCCACGCCTGCTATGCCCTGCGCCATGGCCCGCATAGACGCCGCGCTCGGGGACCACCCCCTGCGCACCCCCTATGGTGTCGAGAAAGTGCCACGCCTGCTATGCCCTGCGCCATGGCCCGCATAGACGCCGCGCTCAGGGACCACCCCCTGCGCACCCCCTATGGTGTCGAGAAAGTGCCACGCCCGCTACGCCCTGCGCCATGGCTCGCATAGACGCCGCGCTCGGGGACCACCTCCTGCGCACCCCCTACAGTGTCGAGAAAGTGCCACGCCTGCTATGCCCTGGACGACCGTCTCGGATAGCGGCCACGCTCAGGGACCACCTCCTGCGCACCCCCTACGGTGTCGAGGAAGTGCCACGCCTGCTATGCCGTGGACGACCGGCTCGGATAGCGGCCGCGCTCAGGGACCACCTCCTGCGCACCCCCCTACGGTGGCGAGAACGTGCCACGCCTGCTATGCCCTGCGCCATGGCCCGCATAGACGCCGCGCTCGGGGACCACCCCCTGCGCACCCCCTATGGTGTCGAGAAAGTGCCACGCCTGCTATGCCCTGCGCCATGGCCCGCATAGAAGCCGCGCTCAAGGACCACCTGCGCCATGGCTCGCATAGACGCCGCGCTCGGGGACCACCTCCTGCGCACCCCCTACAGTGTCGAGAAAGTGCCACGCCTGCTATGCCGTGGACGACCAGCTCGGATAGCGGCTGCGCTCAGCACCTTCTGCACATCCGCTACGGTGTCGAGAAAATGCCACGCCTGCTGTGCCCTGGACGACCGGCTCGGATAGCGGCCGAGCTCAGGGACCACCTCCTGCGCACCCCCTACGGTGTCGGGAAATGCCACTCCTGCTATGCCCTGGACGACCGGCTCGGATGGCGGCCGCGCTCAGGGACCACCTCCTGCGCACCCCCTACGGTGGCGAGAACGTGCCACGCCTGCTATGCCGTGGACGACCAGCTCGGATAGCGGCCGCGCTCAGGGACCACCTCCTGCGCACCCCCTACGGTGGCGAGAACGTGCCACGCCTGCTATGCCGTGGACGACCAGCTCGGATAGCGGCCGCGCTCAGGGACCACCTCATGCGCACCCCCTACGGTGTCGAAAAAAGGCCACGCCTGCTATGCCCTGGACGACCGTCTCGGATAGCGGCCGCGCTCAGGGACCACCCCCTGCGCACCCCCTAGGGTGCCGAGAAAGTGCCACGCCTGCTATGCCCTGGACCACCAGCTCGGATAGCGGCCGCGCTCAGGGACCACCTCCTTCGCATCCGCTACGGTGTCGAGAAAGTGCCACGCCTGATACGCCCTGGACGACGGGCTCGGATAGCGGCCGCGCTCAGGGACCACCTCCTTCGCACCCCCTACGGTGGCGAGAACGTGCCACGCCTGCTACGCCCTGGACGACGTGCTCGGATAGCGGCCGCGCTCAGGGACCACCTCCTGCGCACCCCCTACGGTGTCGAGAAAAGGCCACGCCTGATACGCCCTGGACGACCGTCTCGGATAGCGGCCGCGCTCAGGGACCACCCCCTGCGCACCCCCTTCGGAGTCGAGAAAATGCCACGCCTGCTATGCCCTGGACGACCGGCTCGGATAGCGGCCGCGCTCAGGGACCACCTCCTGCGCACCCCCTACGGTGTCGAGAAAGGGCCACGCCTGCTATGCCCTGGACGACCGGCTCGGATAGCGGCCGCGCTCAGGGACCACCTCCTGCGCATCCGCTACGGTGTCGAGAAAGTGCCACGCCTGCTGTGCCCTGGACGACCGTCTCGGATAGCGGCCGCGCTCAGGGACCACCTCCTGCGCACCCCCTACGGTGTCGAGAAAGTGCCACGCCTGCTATGCCCAAAGTGCCACGCCTGGTATGCCCACGGCCGTGCCCTGCGCTCTAGCCCTGCGTGCTCTGCTGTGCTGAGCTGAGCTGAGCTGTGCTGTGCTGTGCTGAGCTGAGCTGTGCTGAGCTGTGCTGAGCAGTGCTGTGCTGTGCTGAGCTGAGCTGAGCTGTGCTGTGCTGTGTTGAGCTGAGCTTAGCTGAGCTGTGCTGAGCTGTGCTGAGCTGTGCTGTGCTGCGCTGTGTGAGATGCGGGAGAGGGAGGTGTGGGAGGTGTGTGTGAGACGCGGGTGCGACGCGTCAGGGAAGAAAACCAGAACCCCACTAAGCATGTGGGGAACAAGAAACGGAATGAAACCTTCTTTTCGGAGGTCCACGCGAATTTCTTGGGTCGACGCTGACCCCGCGCCAGAGGCGCCGTCAGAGGGGGCCCAGCGCCGATCCAAGGAATCCACGCAGAATCGAAAATCGATGTTCATGCCCTCTTGTGATCTTCGATTCAGGCGTGTTGCTGGCATGTGGGACTCAAAACGGCCACCGTCCCCTTTGTGCTGTCGCGATGACGTGGGGACGGCTGGCAAAGCGGTGGCCCCGCAACCAAAACCACAAACAATTACGCCACCGAGGAACCCCACATACTAATATTATGGCTGGAGTGATGATAGCCTCCTACTCCTCCGCCTCCTCCTCCTCCTCTTCCTCGTCTTCTCCCCCTCGCCATTGATATACTCCTTCGCACCCCCTACGGTGTCGAGAAAGTACCACGCCTGCCTTGCCCTGGACAATCGTCTCGGATAGCGGCCGCGCTCAGGGACCACCCTGCGCACCTCTCATGGTGTTGGAAAAGTGCCACGCCTGCTATGCCCTGGACGACCTGCTCGGATAGCGGCCGCGCTCAGGGACCACCCCCTGCGCACCCCCTACGGTGTCGGGAAATGCCACTCCTGCTATGCCCTGGACGACCGGCTCGGATAGCGGCCGCGCTCAGGGACCACCCCCTGCGCACCCCCTACGGTGTCCGGAAATGCCCCCCCTGCTATGCCCTGGACGACCTGCTCGGATAGCGGCCGCGCTCAGGGACCACCCCCTGCGCACCCCCTACGGTGTCGAGAAAGTGCCACGCCTGGTGCGCCCTGGACGACCGGCTCGGATAGCGGCCGCGCTCTGGGACTACCCCCTGCGCACCCCCTACGGTGTCGGGAAATGCCACGCCTGCTATGCCCTGGACGACCGGCTCGGATAGCGGCCGCGCTCTGGGACCACCCCCTGCGCACCCCCTACGGTGTCGGGAAATGCCACTCCTGCTATGCCCTGGACGACCGGCTCGGATAGCGGCCGCGCTCAGGGACCACCCCCTGCGCACCCCCTACGGTGTCGGGAAATGCCACTCCTGCTATGCCCTGGACGACCGGCTCGGATAGCGGCCGCGCTCAGGGACCACCCCCTGCGCACCCCCTGCGGTGTCGGGAAATGCCACTCCTGCTATGCCCTGGACGACCAGC